GAAGTGTTTTCTTTGTCAGGCTGCATTTGCTTGGAAAAACGGATGCTTAGCAATATCGTATAATAGCTATATCCCCAAATCAGCCTAGCACGAAACAGTAGGTTTTTCTTGCTTTTTGAATTGAACTGATTTGATGTTCACACATAAAATCAGCTACAAGCCTCTTGGAACTGCCTGAAGAAGAGGATGAAATAAAAAGGGCCATAGGTATAATTTGTATAACATTTCAGATTTGATACAACTTGATGTGGGATAGGAAGAGAGGTAATATATGTGTGTGTTTGTGTGTGTGTGTGTGTGTATGTGTTCAAACATCTGTATGACTGCTTTTCAATTTTCACCTGGACTGTGGCTTGTTTGTTTATTTTAGAAAAAGGCCACTGCACTCACTCTAACTGTACTTCCCTTTTTTAAAGTAAGATTTTCAGGTTTTTTTTTTTTAGTTAGAAGTTTCCATTCAGATCTGTCCCAGCTGCAATTTTTCCCTTAAAGTGGTCATCTTGGTAGTCTGTATTTTTTTAGTAATGATTTAATGCAAAATATTCCTCAAATTAGAATAATACAAATTAAAAGAAAATTCTCTTTTCTATATACAATAAAAATAGAATTTATTTTAATGTTATCAATCTTAATGCAACAGTGTTTTCCTCTTATAATTTTGCTTTAAAATCAGAATTTCTTCTTGACTTGAAATTTGCCAAGGTTACCTAATTGTGTAGGTTCCAGGTCTTTTTGATTTTTAATGCAAGACACTGAAAAACATTTTTGATGTGTTTTTGTGATCTATGCTAGAACATGAAGATGGAAACCATTTTATATTGAACTCAAATGTTCAATATAGTAAAACTTTTGAGAGTAGCAAAAGTAACTATTTCTTGCACAGAACCTAACATCACTACTGTGCAGGTGGGCTAGTTGAGCTTGGTTTTTATTGTTTTTTTTCTGGCCAAGTGTTTAATTGAAATGGGATCTAAAGGCAGGGAAAAGTAGCACACACACACACACAGATGCATATCTGAAAGCTGTGGTAGACAATTTGCAGAACATTTTTTTTTAGAAGTCTTGCACAGATGACTCCCTGAAAACAAAGGTTACAGAGAAATCCCTTCTGTCTGCATTGCTTTATTGCCCCAAGATGTCTGTAGTCTGCAGAGACAAGAATTAGGACGATTTTTATTGATTCTGTGTCATTGTCTGTTGTCAGAAGGGTTTAGTACTGTGCAAGAAAGTGCTCGACCTTGAAGCTGATCTTTGTGAGTAAATGGATCATCTGTATCCAGCAAGAAAAACCATAATATGAGTAAATACTGTCTTACAGCATCGCTTCATAAATTTAAAATTTTCTAGTGGTGACATCTGCGTACTCTCAATGTCATGATACTAGCAGGATATAATTTTCCACTAACTGTACAAGTAAATATTAAATTACAGGTACTCCTACAGAAAAGTTAGTACAATGTGGCCCTGTGTAATCAGGTCGTGCTTTGCTCTCGTAATGACAGCTTAAATTACAGGCAATGAAAATGAGTAAAAACCACCTACTTTGAACCTGACATTAGTAAACTTAATACACAGACTATGTGAATAGCAGAAATTCCTCCTTGTTTTTATACACAAAACAAAAACAGATCTATAGAATTATTACAGTTAGTGTAAAAAAAATCTTGTCAATGAAACATATCATTAGTTAGGGTTTTTTTTCGCTAGTTTTAGACATGGCAGACATGCTTCTAACCTGCATGAAAATAAATAGACTATAACTAATGTCTCACGTATGTAAATACTTGGTGCACAGCATGCATGTATATTAAGCACATGTTTATGTAAGCAAGATCTAAAATGTTATGGTTTGATAACTGGCATGTTTGAATGACTGACAGTGTCTGGACTTTACTGAAGAATTAATTGAGTTAATCTGAATACATACAGGCAGGTTTTGAAGTTACTGAACTATTTTGTGTAGTTTAGGATTTCTCAAGCTATAGTTTCTTTTCTTATGAAGTGTATTCGTAAACACACCTATTGTATGTTCTCCTTGATGGTGTCTGACTTCTCTTATACAAGAGCAATGCTGAAGAAACTAGTCAGGTCAAAAATAAACATGCAGATCTCAGATGAAGCACACATTAGTGAGAGAAAAATTTTTAAAATTACCTTTTCTTGTAAGGAGACATTTTCTCTGGGATTAAGTCATGCATCAAATCAACAGCATGCCTCTGCCTTTGAACTCAAATGTAATGAAATTGAAAACTGGGGAATAAGAATCTTACACCCTTCTAATTATTTCTGCTTGTTTCATTTAATTTGCATAATTACTTATTCATATGCAAAATGTGCAGGAGTAGAATTTCCATCCATTGTTCTGAAAGGCAGTAAACATTTGCTGATTTTCACATAAGTAAAACAGTTGTAAACCATGACTGAAATATTGTTTGTTTTGTATATTAGAAAAAACTGCCACATTGTGATAATGGAAGTTCTTCTGTATTTCCAAATACAAAACTTCACAAATCTTACCATAAAATTGAACTATTAAACTCAAAAACTATTATTTGGACCAAATATCAAATACAGGGGAGTTTTAGGTGAGCAAAGCAATTGATTTTTAACTTGCACTTTGGTCAGCCATCAATTTAGGTTACTTTCCAGCACACAGGAGGTAGCTGTGCTCACCATGTCAGACTTGTCAGTTATTGATTTGACCAGTCAGTGAGGTAACTCCATGGCCATACAGTTCGTAAAAACAGATTGCCAAGTTTTCAGTCCCAGCAGGATTGCACTGGTGCTCAGCTGAGTGATCATGAAAGAAGCAAGATGGTCATGGGGAAGTGACGTATTTCTGTCACAGTGGTGGGAAATCTGTGCTGGGATACAATTCATATAGACGTCTAAGAGAGCTTCCTTTTACACACTTGGATGGCAAGTCTGCAGTCCAGGCTGGAGAAGAAATGCAGTGTTGTTAGAACAGAGCAAGAAATGGATGGCAGCTGGTCAATTATTATTTCTCCTTTTTAGCTTTTTCAACTGAAAAAAGTTTTACAGTTGCAGTGAATGGTTTGTGGTTTTTACTTGGTTTTAAGATAATTAGTCTTTTCATTGTCTGTTCTGTTTCTTGACGTACTAAAGAAGAATCATAGCCCAAGTTTCCCTGCATTTGTCACAATGCAAGACATTGCTTTCAGTTAAAAATTTTAATTAAGTTTAAAAAAATAAGTTTTCTGTGAAATATGTAAAAATATTTGACTGATATAGAGTGTGTTGCATTATGCCCTTTTCTGACTTGTGACTGTATTTCTAGAGCTTGTGATTGAAAATACTAAGCAACCATAGGCAATGCATGAAACAGGAGCTATCCTCAGAAATCAGATCACAGCTGTCTCACAGTGTTTCTTTCTCTATTTTCTCTATTTTTGGTTTTGGTGTTCTGTTGATGATCCTAGGTTTTCTTCTTTTTTTTCTTCATTTTTATAAGTTTTGAAAAGCCAGAAAATTTATGCCAGCACAGATTGTCATGATAGATTTGTTCTAAATATCAAGGAATATGCAAATGCAAGATTCCTGAGCAGTGCAAATTAGAAAAATCTGTAAAATAGGTGGTTGCATATTTTATTTTAAAATAATTACTTAATTCTTGTAACTAATGTGTAAATACTTAACTCTCATTTTCTTGTTTTTCTCACTGTTTTATCCGTGAGTGCCATCTGATATAGAAAATTTATCTGTTTCTTAAAATAATTCAGACAACTTCACACAGGCATCTTCTGTGATTGTGTATTCTGTATGATAGAATCCTGATTCTTTTATAGAAGTCAGATTTTTCATATTATATTCACTTTAGATTCCATAGAAATTTAAATTCACTTAAGGCTTATTGATAATGTAGCATAAGGATTTGAATGAGGATGTATTTGACATTTAATTTCACAAGCACTGACTTTCATGAAAAAGCTCAGTTACTAATGATAGCAGGAAACCTAGCACAATTACTGGATAACAGCAGAAAATGACATGTACCAAAGTGGGAGAAATGTTTCTGCTTACAACAGATTGTAAATATGGATAACAAACAAAATAATTTGTCAGGGTATTTCTTCCCTTTTGCCTCTTCCCCATCCATTCTCCCCCTTCCTACAGTTCTAGAAGAGCAAATATACCTCAGAGAGCTAGTGTACCTCTGGGCTTAATAACTGCTGGTTAAGTTTTTAAGAGAAGAAATCTCCAGCACGCAGAGTGTGTGCATAGGTATCACAGGCTATGTAGTATCTCCAGCTACAGGGTCGGGTGTTTAGGAGGTGCAAGACCAACTCTTCACTCAGTTGCCGTGGTTTTACAGTAGTGCATATTACCAAAAGTAATTTGAGTGTTTATCAGCATGTTGTGGCACAAGGGTAATCTTGTGGCAATGGGTCTTTTTATAGTTGCGTTAAGAATCATTTCCTCTTACTTTTCTTTCTTCATTTGCCCGTCCCTGGGGTGTTCAAGGCAAGGTTGGATGGTGCTCTGAACAGCCTGATCTAGTGGAAGGTGCCTCTGCCTGTGGCAGGGGCACTGGGACTTGGTTCCTTCAAATGAAAACTGTTCTGTGATTAATTCCTGAGTATCATATGTGCAAAAATTTGTCTTTTGGTTCCTCTTCCTCCCCTTAGGAGTTCTTGAATAGCCATTATCTAGGCCACTCCTCTGTTTTGCAGTCTGTGACAAAAGAGCACTGAAGTCCTTCTGTCCAAGGTCCTACAAGTAGTGCTTGTCTTAAGTATAGTCTTGTTAAGCATCTGGGAGTGTTTTCTTCCTCAGGTTCAAAAAGTGCCTGCTAGATTGAAAGGATGGTATTAATGATGATTTAAAAGGGAGGTTTCTGATTGTGCTCCATTTCTTTCTCTAACCTCAACATTTTTTCATTTTAATTTTTCACTGTCTTAAGATTTTTGTGATTATTTCCTTTCTTTTGTCCATGCCCATCTTTTGTAACAATTTCTCCTTTTTTATCTCTTGTTTTTCAGTTGCGATCAAGCTCAGAGATTGACCAGGACATCCTGAATGACTGCCTTGCAATCCAGCCCCTCCAGCCAGTCCTGTCACCACAGGATGCTGTAGATAGTACCATGGAACACTCCCCAGAGTCTGCTTGTGATATTTACCCAGGTATAAAATAAGACAGATAAAAAGCTGCTGCATTATTCCTCACTTAGTATTAGGGATCACTTTGTAGAGTAGAATGTACTCTGAAATGCATATCTATCTCATAAGAAGGATAGAATGTGAAAAGCAATATAAAAAAAGATTTTGAACATGTTTTTATGTTTTTCGGAGGGAAGGAAAACCAATCATATTATACTCATTAAAAGACCTAATACAACAGATGGATATTTTTGTTCTATGGGCATTTGATTCTGCAACCAATTTACTTCTACCATTCCTCGTAGACATCTTGAATACATATTTTAATTTAAAATCACAGTATTTTTCCTCTGCCTTAGTCATGGATCACATATCAGTTTTTCAATTGATCTACATTAAGAAACTGAAATGCTGCATTATGAGTATAAATATACAATAGACTGTAAATAGACAATAAACGCATTTGCACCATGAATGCATGTATAATCCTATTGTATTATTTCAGTTAAATATCTGAGATTTTCCTACTAAAATACCTTTGTCATATCTGCCTACATATACAATTTTTTTGTTAACATTTCAAAAAAATTTGAAACTATCAGTAAGTTATGAGTGATAATAAATCTTAAAGCTCGAGAGGGCAATGGGCAGAATGTTAACATTTTTTAATGCAATATTTTAGTAGTTGTGAGAGCCTCTGTTTTTAACTTTCAGGCAAAATGCATTACGTCTTTTATCACTTCAACTTTTAAGTTGAAGAGAGAGCCAGATGTAGGAAGTGAATTAATCGGCTTCATTTATGTTATCTGCAGTGATGAAAATGACATTATATGAAGTGGCCACTTCAATAGGTGGTTTTATTTTACTGAGAGGTTTGTAAAACTAGCAATTCTATTTCATGCTTTTGTCAAGGCTGCTGCGAGTCACACAATAGTTAGTGATGATGTAGGTGTATGTCACAAAATTCAGGACATTTAAAGCTGTGATTGATTGTATTCTAGTTTTTAGGTAGTTGGTATTATTTGTATGCTGTTAACTTTTAAATGTCTTAGTCTGAGTGTACAGACTGAGTGTGACATTCAGTATGCGATAGAAAGGGGAAATTTCAGATTTTAAAAATGTGATTTTGGCCAGAGAAACTCTGGGGACATTTAATTGATTATAGTTGTTTATTTTACATTGTGCATTGAGAGGATAGTGAGGAATGTTGAGATTTTTTTAAATTATTTATGATTTTACCAAGTGTAACATGCAAAACTGAGAGATAACAAAGACTCAGCTTTTCCTTTTCTTTTCAAGTTCCTTGACAGAATGGAGGCTGGGATGGGACAGTGTGTCAGATTTCAGAAACTGAGGATATTCTCACAGGAGGTGGCTACAGCAATCTGTTGGGCATTCCTCCCTAGCTTCCAGGCTATGCTTAAATGTCCAGCTCTGTCTGCTGGGTCAGTCCAAGCACAGGCTGACAGAGGCTTGAACCAGCTGCTGCCCATGACAAGCTGGGTAGTTTCTTTCCTGGCACTACTTCCTATTGTATAACAATTTTTATGGTAATTTAATTTTTATGCTAATTAATCAACATACTCTTATCAGCATTAATTTCTGTGTAAATAATAATCTGGTTTCTCTTACATGTCTCCCAGCTATCTATCATTTGGCAGAGGTCTTGTAGTTCTAGTCACTTGTGTTGTTTCACATCAGTTAGAGGGTACTATGTCAGGCATAGAGCAGTCCGTGTCACTCCATTTTGACAGCTACTTGATCCAGTTGAAATAAATTGTTTCATTAACGACTCATCAAGGATGCTGCAGGGTGATAGACTATGTGAACAAATTAGATAAATCTGACAGGCAGGAAATTATTATATTGAAATGCCAACATGAAAATTATTCATGTCCAATTGAGAGAAACATAAAATACAGAAAAAACTAAATGTCTTGTCTTGGAGAAGGTACCCTTCAAAATTCACTTAAAACAATTTTTTTTTTTTTTGTAAATACAGCTTTGAGACTTCGGAAATGTTAAACACATTATTTTTACTGGGTACTGTTTGAGACAGCACATTAGCTGAAATGTCGCTGTGCTACTTTTAAAGTAGAAGGAGGAATAGATTTTCATACTTCCAGTCGTGTCCAATCAAACTTTTCTTACTTGAAGGTCATTTCACTTACTCTTGATGCACATTTAAAGCACGTTTATTGATGCACATTTAGAGGCTTTTTCTTGTAGAAGAATTCTACAGAATAAGTGTTTGAAAGCAAACTATTAGAAATGGGCAAGAAATGTCAGAAGCACATGTTTAGATGCAAGTCCATTTTCACTTACATAGTAGAACACCTGTAGAGACCACTGTGTAGTTTCTCAGCACTTATAAAATACAGAATCTATAGACACAGACACATTTAAATGAAATGCAAAAATAACCTTTTTGATTACAGATCTATTAGTTGGAGTTAAGTCTTCAAAAGAGCTTTTTCTTATCATGTAGTCTTTATAACTTCATAGAAGAAATCCAAACTGACTATTATCTTATTAATACAGTGAGGTAGCATTACAACCTCTTTGCTTAAATCTAACACAAAATTACATTTATGGGTCTAAAGCAAACAGACTAAGGGCTAAGCATTGTGATAGTATCTAGGTTTAAATTTTGAACAATACGTAGGCATTTTGGTTTACTCGGTTCACAGAATGAAGGTGAGAGCAAGGCACTCATAATAACATTGGGATGATGAGTTTTCCTGCTGTGAAACAATATGAACTTGCTTTGTATAGAGCAATCGGAACCACTAAACCCAGAAGAGTCATAAATAATGCAGCAGAAAAAAATCCCATCTTTTTACTGTGCTGTTTGGATAAAACTTGACCATTTCATATTTATGCATAAGCCAGAATGTGTAATTCATTTATAAGTAGTTACTGAATATCACACTAAGTTCTGCTCCAGAGTTAGCAAAGGATCTTTCTAGAGCTTGTCAACTGCATAATTTTCTTTGCAAGTTGGAATTTAAAAATTGTATCAGTAAAGTTACAGAACTTATTTGAATACTAAGTATTTTTTAAATAATGTCTTACACTATATTGTTAAACTTTGACCTAAATACTTGTATGTGTATGACTTTCTTTGCTTTGCTTGAGTAACACTTTTCTTTGGTTTTTTTCCCTGCTGAAATTGTACTAAGCTGGGTGCTCTGTGCACATAATAAGAAAAAAATCCAATCCCCCAGGAATTTGTATATAACTTAACAACAGGAAAGTAGGAAGGTACAACAAGCAGGTAGAGGTTAAGCACACATACAGGAATAGATAAATGAAATTATTAATTAATGAAAGAATCATATTAAAGAAATTGTCCTAGTGAGTCCCTAAGAGGTGTCTGAAAAAAAGCAACCTAGTTTTCTTTTTTAAAAAGTAGTCTGTTCTTTTCTTTAAAAATAGTTTTTTAAGGGTGATAGGCTTGGAAAATAGTTACAGCTCATTCCTGTTAGAAAAAACAAGAATGGGAAGGAAGAACTGGCATATGAATGGCCCTTGCTGTGAAAAACAGAATTGTGTTTGATGTGTAGGGAATGGATGCAAAAGGAGCAGTAATGTAGGACTACCAACAATGAAGAGGATCTCTGTTTTCACCTTTTAGGCTGAATTTAAGTATTGCATACATGTCTAGAGCTCCTGCTTAATGTGATGTAGTCATAGGTAGAACCATACACACATTACAGGGGGCAAAAAAGTGTTAATAATAATATCTTAATTTAAGGAGGATAGTTTGCTTCTGCTCAGACTTGCCCTTTTATTTGCCAGTTTTACTTATGAGTTTATAATTTCTATTTTGAGACAACTTCATGGTTCTCCAAAAGTTGATGTAATGTTTGGGTTCGCATTTTTAAGAACATTTACCAATGGACTGCTACAAACATTGTGGGCAACATGCCGACTTGCACCATTTGTGGTTATATTCATCATGATGAGACTGAACTTCAGAAACTGCAATCCACTAAAAGAGAAGAAAATGAAAGGCAGGGATGTGATCTAGAGATGCCATTTCAGGAATGGCTTAAAATACTGGTCCAAACCCTGCTTTATTTCTTCAGTACTTTTATGTTTTCCAGTATCTATGATCTGCCTGTAAAGTCACAGAAAGGTCATCAGTGCAGGTGGTTCATGTGACAGGTCAACTTTGGAGACAAACTTATTATCTTGAAAATGCAATTTTTACTTCTACTGTACTTCTTAATGCATGATGGCTTCTTGAGTTTCATATTCTCTGAATACTTCAGACTTACAGATGAACTGAGGATAAAGGTAAAACAGAAAATAGGTTTTTCATTTGCTGGGCTTACCACTTAGAGCTCAATACAGCACATATCCACATATTCCTGGCTACAAAATCCGGTGGACTTCCTAGGGGACGAGAAAGAGGGGAATATATGCAGGTGATGCTTACAAGTGCAAAAAATATTTCATATATTTCCTTCTGTGCAATAATAAATCAGTTGTTTTCAAGGACCTCATAAATATTCCTTACAGAAATAGAAGGCTATATTTAGTAATTAAAAATAAAGCAACCTTGGAAATGTAGCTGACTGAGCTACAAAATTAAACCTTCACACTGTCTTACTCTACATGGTAAAAACTTTCAGCCCTACTCCAAATTCATACCGGCAATAATTAGAAGAGAGATCTTTTGGTGGCAGAAATTGTTTTTAAGAGTGCTGGTAGTAAGCCCAAGATGCTCTTCAATTAGAGCATTTTTGATAATTTGCTAATTTCTGCATTTAAATATGTTCCATGAAATTACAGGTTTCTGACTCCATTGAAAAATAACTTTTTTTTGGCCTTAGATTCTGTGACACTTTCAATACTACTTTTTGGCTTTCTTTTCTTAAAGAAACCTTATTCAGGATCATCCTTTTCTCTTGCAACCACCTAAATTGTTCCTATGCATTGTGAGGGTACGTGTGAATTTAGCTTCTCATAGAGAACTGTTTGCAGAAATATTTTCATGGAAAATTCTTATGTACTGATAAATGGATATGTGATGAGGCTCCAGAAAAGAAAACACGACTCCTTCCTCTTTTTGGCTGAAACTTTGTCCCAGTTGAGGTTCACAATCTGAGGTTCACAGTCGAGACTAAGTTGGGATTAAGCTGTAATCATCTTGTAAATAGTGTTGTAACTTGGACTTTTTTAGGGATACAGAGGAACAACAGTCATGATTCTTTGGCTTTTATTGAGGTTTTTTGGATTTTTTTCAAAATGTCTGAATATGTTTAAAATTTCTTTAAAGGTTTTAGTTTATCCTGAATTGATAAGACTTCCTGTAGCAACCTTTTTGTTACATAATCATAGAATCACAGAATGGTTTGCATTGGAAGAATTCTTAAAGGTCATCTAGTTCCAATCCCCTGCCATAGGCAGGGGCACTTTCCACTTTACCAGGTTTCTCAACGATCCATCCAGCCTGGCCTTGCACACTTCAGGGATGGGGCATCCACAGCTTCTCCAGGCAACTTTATCCAGTGTCTCACCACCCTCACAGTAAAGAATTTCTTCCTGACATCTAATCTAAACCTTTCTCCATTTGTTTAAAACCCACTTAAAACTAACATTTAATTCTACATCTTTGTGTGTGGACCTGTATGGTGGTACTACACTTGAGCATGCTGGTTGTCATGAAAATTTCACCGAATCACAGAATCCTTAGGTTGGAAGAGACCTTCAAGATCATTGAGTCCAACCCGTGCTCTAACACCTCTACTAAACCATGGCCCTGAGTGCCACATCCAGTCCTTTCTTAAACACATTCAGGGATGGTGACTCTACCACCTCCCTGGGCAGGCCATTCCAGTACTTTATCACCCTTTCAGTGGAAAACTTTTCCCCAATATCCTGTATTTCCCTTGATGAAACTTGAGACTGTGTCCTCTGATTCTGTCAGTTGTTCCCTGGAGAAAGAGACCAACCCCCCTGACCACAGCCACCTTTCAGGGAGTTGCAGAGAGTGATAAGGGCACCTCTGAGTCTCCTTTTCTCCAGGCTAAACACCTCCAGCTCCCTCAGCCGTTCCTCACAGGGTTTGTGTTCCCAGCCCCTCTCCAGCCTCGTTGCCTCCTCTGGATGTGCTCAAGCGTCTCAAGGTCCTTCTCAAACTGAGCTGGACACAGCACTCGAGGTGTGGCCTCACCAGTGCTGAGTACAGGGGAGAATGACCTCCCTGCTCCTGCTGGCCGCACTGTTCCTGACACAGGCCAGGATCCCTTTGGCCTTCCTGGCCCCCAGGGCACACTGCTGGCTCATGGCCAGTCGGCTGTCACCAGTGCCCCCAGGTCCCTTTCCAGCCACACCATCTCCAGCCTGTAACACTGCAGGGGGTTATTGTGGCCAAAATGCAGGACTAAACACTTGGATCTATTAATCTCCATCCCACTGCATTCTGCCCATGCATCCAACCATTCCAGGTCTCTCTGCAGAGCCCTCCTACCCTCCAACAGATCAACACACGATCCCAGCTTAGTGTCATCTGCAAACTTACTAATGAAGGACTCAATCCCTTCATCCATGTCATCAATGAAGATACTGAACAGAGCTGGCCCAGCACAGACCCCTGAGGACACCACTGCTGACTGGCCCCAGCTGGATGTGGCACCGTTCCCCTCCACCCTCTGGGCCCGGCCACCCAGCCAGTTCTGAACCCAGCACAGAGTGCTCCTGTCCAAGCCGTGGCCTGCCAGCTTTTCCAGGAGGGTGCTGTGGGAGACAGTGCCAAAGGCTCTGCTGAAGTCCAAACAGAGAACATCCACAGCCTGTCTTGCATCCACCAGGCAGGTCACCTGGTCACAAAAAGAGACCAGGTTTGTCAAACATGACCTACCCCTCCTAAACCCATGCTTTGCTCAGTTTCACACCATCTAAATCAGGTATTTAATGGACTGAAAAGACATTGAGAAGGTATTTACTGGCAACGCTTTGAGCAAGTAACTCACATATAACTCAGCCTGAACCAGCTAGAAAATGTACAAGCATGGCTTACAAAATACTTGCATGGAATGCTAATGATGGCTGCGGAAGAGAACAGCTATGTCAAGATGAACAACTTTTGCTACCATGTGCTGAACGCCTGGTCAGAATCCAACCTTTTTACTCCTGATCCTGAAGAGGTTAATTTTAAATGCAAAGATTGCACTACTGGTAAACTAAGCCATTGTATAGTTTTACACAGCTTTGTTAGTTTTTGTCATGGTAAAATGCAAGTTACTCTATTTTGCCAAGGAATAATTTAAATAGTTTCTTTTCATTTAGACAGTCGAGGCTTTCCTTAGCAATGTCCTGATTCGTTAAATATTCTCTTCCTTTGCTGTCAGAATATGTGCTTGGTTGTTTTTCAGTATTTTCTTCTGTGCTGCATGAAAGATAAAATAAGAATTACAGAAGTTCATTCCTTTGTGTTTATCTTCTGCACTTGTCCTGATGCTACGCTGAGACACACACATGGAAAACATAACTTTTGGGGTACATGAGCAAACTGCGAAAAAAAAAATTCCCCTGTCTTACTAAGAAAATGTCCTCAACTTCTTCTTTGCAAATTACTCGGCTGTTTTAAGTGATGTCTCATCTTCCTGCGGGACCTGCCTCCTGTGTTCCTCTTTAAGGTTTGGGATTCTTCTGCTGTCAGATGTCTGTCATCACTTGACTTGTTATTGGGAGGCTCTGGTCCACAAACAAGTTAGCAAAGAGCACAGCCTGGCACCAAGGTCAGCCTCCATTCCTCCACCTTTGACCACCAATGTCAACTTCCCCATATCTTTGACATTGCCTCTACGGCATCTGTATTGGATGCTTTTATTCACAAAGTGGTTTCCTGTCTGTCATCTTGCACTGTCTGCCATTTCCAGCAGCTGAAAAATGTCCAGGGCTGCTCCTTAATGGGGCTACAGCATAACTTGAAATCCTGAGCATTTTTTTTATTCTGTCTTAGCTTGGTGACTATCCAGTGTGTCACAAAGGCGGGTTTGTAAGGATCAATAGAGTCTTTCCAAGAACAGGCTGAGGCTTTGGGAGACAAGGTGAATTTTCACCTTTTTGATCTTCTGTAGCAGAATTCACACTTGTGAATGAAAAATTATGATCTGTGAAATCATTTCCTTGAAGACTGATCTGTGGTGAGGCTACCTCTAATGCAGTCTTTCTTCTGCTAGGATTGCAGCATGCATGGACATATTTCAGCCTAGAAAGGTGTTTTACTAGTGACAGTGCACCCTGGGGAACTGGGAATCTAGGATTTTACCAAGAAACTCAAATCATTAGCTCCAACATATTCACTAGCGTAATGTAAGTTTTATACGTAGAATTTCACTCTGTAACTAGGCCTGAACAATACCTTTTTTTTTTAAAGAGACAGATACGACAGACAAACAGGAGAAATAATTTTTATCTTTTAGAGAGACTATCTAATTCCTTCTCTGGGTTCATAAAATATTTAAGAGCATGCATTTGTCTGCCAGTCAACATCAGCATAAGCTACTTGACAGAAATGTCAGTAGAAATAGCTGTGTAACAGGATTTTCAGAGATACAAAGATTTATATTTGTCTGATTTAAAATTTTTTTTTTCAAAGGGGTTACCAGAAAATAAAGTTATAGGATTTGGGATCAACTAATTAGGACATTTCAACAAAGTCCTATATTGCTTTTTGTTTATTCAGTAAGGAAACAGACAGGAAACTTTCCTTATTAGAAAAAAATCCAAGAGAAAACACATAGAAAATTATTAAGCTGTTAAAGATGGTTTAAAATTTTTGTATGTATTACTGAGGAGTCTGGGCCAATGATAGTAATAATGCTCTTCAAGAAATTTGTAATTTTTACAGATGAGGGGAAAATGTAGAAAGCATTTCACATTTTATGAAACTATTCTTTCTGTTCACTAGTTCTAAAAATACAGATCTTAGGAATATTGACACATCTTCTACAATAGAAGAGTATAGAAGATTTGCAGCCTTATTGAGACAAAAATTCCAAGACAATGAACATGGCTGTGATCATTCATGCCTGGTTTTATGGAAATGTCATTTGGAAGCAACAAAGAATACTTACTTATTTTCATGTGGTTCTTCTTCTCTTTGTGAAAACAACACATCAGAAAACCCTTAGTTTCCTTAGTTGCTAAGAGGTGGCACTGCAGCTCGACAGGAGGGGTTATATGTTGGTGTTTGGTCATTTATCAATATTGTTGTTGTTTGGTCAGTTATCAGCGTTGTTTCCTGCCTGATGGGCGTTATTTCTCTCTTCTACTTTCAGCAGCTGTGATCCCCAGCACACAGATGAATCAAAGTGGAGCAGCAGCTGGGGCAGTGTCCTTGTCCCACCCCAGCAGCCACTCTTCCCCAGGACAAAACATCCAGGGCAGTCCTCTGCACCCTCCCCAGGTACCTCTTCTCACAGCTGCTGACTCAGAGAGGTAAGAGCCTCTGCTTCCCAGCTTGAGCCTGAGGCTGGACTGTCTTCAGAGATGCCAAGGTGGGGGGAAATACAGTTGCTGGTGGGCACTAGTGGCAGCCCTGGCCTAACAACTGCTCTGGGTAGGGGTTTGTCAGGAGGAGAGGTGAAGTGGACCATGTTATTCCAGTCTGAGAGGGAGATTTTCCATCCATTTCCATTTCAGGAACTTCCTCCAGTCCCTTCTTGATCCCAGTGAAGGGCTCAAGCAAGGAAAGTGATACCAGCTGGCATGCTGTACTTCAGACGACCACAGCCATACCTTACAGTATGGGGGCCCTGAGATTCATGTTTCTGTTTACTTGTGGGAGAAGAGTCATATTCTGTCAATATTCTCCCAACACTAAGCATTTCTGAAGGAAGACCTTGCCTTTATTTTTTTAATTGCCATTTTATGAAGAACAACAGATAATGAACAAATTTTTATTTCACTAGTTTTGAATTTGATTTATAGTCAGGATTTCTTTTATGACAGTTCCACTAATGTATATTTTTATATATGCTGGTTAGGTATGATAAATTCTATGATTTTAGATCTTTCAGTGACATAAAAATCAATTGCTCAGATGTGTCTTGATTTTCATTGTTAGACATTCCCTAAATTATTTTCAGCACTCTTTCCAATGATTTAGATAGTGTATGGTACTATAGATATAGAAATCTATAGCTCGTTGAACCAGAAGTGTACCAAATCACAAGACTGAACAGGCCTAAGTAAATGGTTTTTAGTGGAAAAGTCAGGAAGATAACATCGTCACACTAAATACTAAACTGTTACTATCTGCTCATGGATACTTAAACATTATTTTAAAAATTTCTTTTTCAGTGCTCTAAGTGATAAATTGCTGTATTTCACTAATGTATTTCAGAGTATTTAATTTCCTTGAGTGACAGATATGACAGTAATTTGAAGAGTACAAAATCCCCAATTATAAACCTGAAAACAACATTCACTAGATTTCAATTACTGGTAAATGAGCATAATTTCTTTGGATGAAAGCAATATGCACTCTGCCTTGTATCAGGAGGATAGAAGAACATGTGGCATCAAGAAACTTACTACAGGTGAAAGTAAATTTTTATTTCAGAGTTCACATGTGAATTCGGCCAGTTCTGGAGCCACTGGAAGTTTTTGTGCGTCAGTCTGAGATGGAGCTTACTGCCTCATGATCACTGGAGCTCATCTGCTTTGTTCCTCCCTTCCTCCCCACTCCTGCCCCCATGATCCTGGTCTTTTTCCCTTGTGCTGGCTCTGGCCCTCTGTGCTCCCCTCTGGGGCTGTCCATGCTCTCTGCCTGACACTGAGGCTCTTCTGTCCCAGTATAGTTTTCTCTTCAGTGCATGGCCTGTCCATCCATACCCAATGATTGCCAGAGCACGAGGTGATAGGCAGGGACACATTAACAGTTGTTATAGTTATAAATGTAATTATAAAAGACAGTGATCTTATTAGCCCATTTCTGAGGTTCTTCTGCTGTAAAACCACAGCAGAGGTGCCTAGAGTGAGACTTCCTTCATTCAATTCATTGAATGCATTTCATACATCAAGATAATAGAGTACTCTACACAATAATAAAAAGCTGCCATGGTATACTCCTTTTTCATTTGTTAAGTGTATACACCCTCTCTAAAAAGGCTTGAAGTGCTAATTCCCATATGTGGAGCTGCTTTGGGTTTAAAAAAGTTCCATTGTCTTCACTTAGGTAGTGTGACAAATGGCAATTTAAATTCAGAAAAGGAAAAAAGTATTGCAGTAATGTTGGTTTGATTACAGTACATAGGGCAGAAGTTAGGGGAAATGTTTGAAAGAAAAACTAAGGCAGAATCTGTGTATTGAATCTAGCAGATTACACTTGCCTAGGGGCCTTGCAAGTAGGCTGTCACTTCACTTCATGGGTGTGATGAGAATGGTGAAAATGTGAAAAAACCTTCAACACAGAAAGTGACAGAGATAGTATCTTTGAAAGGTGTGAATCATCCTGTTTATTTCAACCTCATTGTTGAGAGGACTGCAGGATTTAGGGGTACAAGTAGAGCATTTGTTGCCCCTCATGCTAGTAAGGGTTGGACTAGGTGACTTTTGAAGGTCCCTTCCAGCCCAAATTGTTCTGTGGTTGTGTGGTTCTGTGGTTTTGTGGTTCTGTGCTGTGTGGCTCCTGACACACTGTGCATGCCCAGGGTCATCATTTAAGAGCTAGCACAGGCTGGCCAGCACTTGTTCCAGCAGAAGGCTGTATTTGTTGGACTGAAGCTGATCCAAACTGGCTTGGCTGTTTGATGATGCTGGGGGCCAGGCCTGTGCCACTTTTTGGACAGCAGACTCAGGTTTATGAGAGACAGAAGCGGAAGGAAAAAAGCATTTTCTCTACATTTCCACATACCATGGGATAGAGAAATAATGGGAGGGTTTCTTTTAAGTCTTTCTCTTCTAGGTGGTGTGAGGGAAAGTATGGACTTGATGAAGCCTTATAAAGGTGAGAAACTGAGCCAAACATGAAACACATCCTATATTGCATTCATTATGTGTACAAAACTCTGAGAGCACATAGTGCAAGACGGTTAGAGAGTTTGAATATAAGATATCACTTAATTTATCAAAGGACCGAGCATAAACAATAAAGGTGCAGATTTGCATTTAGTCTGTCCCAGCTCTTTGATACTAACTTTGAGTGCTCCACTAATATGAAGTACTGCAGCTATTAAATGAAGGTACCAAAGGTGTACCTAAAAGCATGTCTGTAACAGGGAATATGTACTTCACTACCTTTTCACTCACTACTGTAATACAAGAAAGCATGAGCATACAAATAAGCTGAAAGGCTAATCTAATTAAAATTCAGATCAAAAATTATGGGCTTAAATGACGTTGTTAATACATGTGGTTCAGTGCCCCAAAATTGATGGTGCTAAATTTTGAAATTAATATTTTAAAATTATTTCTTTGTGTAATGAATTATCCAAATATACATCTTGCTTCTGAGCAAAAATTAGCCTGTTAATCAATGTGATGCAATAACAAAATTTTTCATGGATTTGATGTCCACGTGATTTTTTATCCACCTGTGAACCAGAGCTAACAGTACATCCCTAAAGCATGATGCATCCCAGCTTCACAGGAATTTCTAAAGACTCTTAAGGCTGACAAGAAGAACTTAGGGCCAGAGTGTTCAGTTTAGCAGTACCATTATGCTATAATAAGTTCTGCAGCAGTAATTCTTTTCACTTATCTGAGTGTGTGCTTATATTCCCTTTATGATTTCACTGTAAAATAGTAAGTAGCTCCAGGCTAAACTTCCAGAAGCAAAAGCATCTGCATAGTTCTTCTACCCAAGAAGCCAAGACTTCCAATCTTCATGTTACACAGCCCTTTTTGTATATATTATAGAAAGGGCTGCCTCAAAGAAGGTCTGTAGTTAACAATAAGGTTAACTAGGTCTGTGGTTTTGAAATAAGTACATCAACTTCTTTCCAGGCAGAGGATTGCCTGTTAATCATGTTTTATTTTTAGTGGGCAAACGACACCTATGAATGACAAATGCTTGTGTTGGAGGTATTGGTAAGGCTAACCCTGAACCTGAGCCGTAGAGTCACAGAATCCTAGAATAATTTAGGCTGGAAAAGACCCTTAAGACCATCAAGTCCAACTGTTAACCTAACACTGCCGAGGCCACTACAAAACCATGCACCAAGTGCCACACATCCACATGTCTTTTAAATACCTTCAGGGATTGTAACTCCACTGCTTCCCTGGTGGAGCCTGGTCCAGTGTCTGCCCACCCTTTCTGTGAAGAAACTGTTCCTGTTATTCTTTCTAAATCTAAACCTTCTCTGGCACAACTTGAGGATGTTTCCTTCTTGCCCTGTTGCTTGTTACTTGGGATTTGTGTTACTGAGTTCCGCCTAGCTACAATCTCTTTTCAAAGCGAACCTAGCAAAGTTTGGAATTTTTCTCACACTTTTTTTTTTCCCAAAGACATTTTTTCCTCTTTCTCACATTTGCAAGAAACTTAGTTCTCTGATACAATATAGGCACAGAAAATACTGAGAAATTTTAGAAAAAGTTACATAGTCTCCCTCCAGGGAGTCTGTGTATTAAGGTACCTGCTCAAAGCTCTCTTCCTTAAATTCCACTTCAAATTCCACATAAATTCTCCTTTCATCTTCTCACCGAAAAGATGAGGTACTGGTCAGAATGCTTGTTTGTTATTTCTGCCATCCCTTCTTTCATCCAGATTTTGGTTTTCTTGCCCAAAATATTTCTGTTATGCAAGAAGATTGCATTCTTTAAAAAAAAAAAAAAAAAAAAAAGAAAGACAACGACAACAGCAAAGCAACACCAAAACAAGACAAACACAAAACTCCAAACAAACAAAACCCCCCGTAACCAAAACACCCACAAGACTTGTGGCAGAGAATCATTGGAGAGAAACATTCATCATAGGTAGGTAAAAAATTAGGGTTTTATTATTTTGGTCAAATGAATATATTCATAACTTTGGGGAAAACATCTTATTTGTTCAATTTTGTTCCTGGCAAAAGGTATGCTTTCCTTAAATATGTTTTTAAAACATGTTTATTTGATTGTCACTTTTAAGTAGTCAGACTAACTTACAGTGCAATATGCTCAGTTTCACAAACTGTGTTACGAGAGAATGTTTTCTTCACTGGCAGCAGACTGAGGATCTGTAAAGACACTACGACACAGCTTAAGGTGTGAGTTCAAAGAACGTGAGTTTATAGAAAGAATGTAAGAGCAGAAAATGGATACACCATCCCAGATTTTTTGACTTTTTTAGAAATAAAATTCAGGCATTCCGGAAGGAATGATCGTGGATTTTTCTTCATTTAACATTGTCCGAAAGAGCAGCACTGTACAGGACACTGTTTGAGGCAGCAGCCTGTTACAGGGAGCTTGTAGTTCAGTCCTCTGTCCAGCCAAACTTTCAGCTCAGCCAGATGAAAGCCTGATCACCTTACTGTGTGAACTGCATAACATTTGGATATGTTCCCAAACTGCTGAAGCCCAGCAAAAATTACTCCGTCAGGTAAAAGAGCAGCAACCCAATAAATACTGTTTGCAAGTTGTCCAAAGAAAACTGTGGCCTCTGAAGAAAAAAAATCAGGATTTTCAGATTTAATGTTCGATTTCCACTTCAGCAACATATCTATAGCAACCATAAAGATTCATTTTGTCTGAATGGTGACAAATGCTTTAATTTACATTGCAAAGTTGAGGAAAAAAAAAAAAAGAAGAATGAAGACAGAACTACATCCAACACAGTTAGTTCCTGTCTCAAATATTTAATGTTAGCAGCAATTTCTGCCATAGTGTAGCATGGATTAATGGTAGGTAAATTATGTCTTTTATGTGCAGGTGCAGTTTCTTTTCTTTCAATATATAAAGAAAAATATTTTTGAAAATTTTAAAAATACTTGGTTGCAGTGAAATAAATTGAGGAGTTGCAAAGCACTTGGGTTTCTAGGTGAAGAAACATCTTATATATATTTTTGCTACAGAGACATAAGAGGTTGTTTCCCCACTTAAAAAAGGATTTATTTGCAGGTGGCCAACCATGATAAAATAAACTAAATTAAAGCATTATATAAATACACAATTTACTGTATATTTTGACTCTTTGATTTTTCCTCTTCCCTTCCTTTTCCACACATTTCTTGGGTTGTGCATGTAGTTGTAGTGACTGTTTACTGGGCCAGCCCCAGTAAAATATGTGGCATTGTATGGGGCATTTTAACTAATCTCATCAAAACAGGTAAGCTTTGGTAACTTTGTCATCCATCTTGCTTACTACGAAATGTAGTCATTCTCCAGCAAGACACTTTTTCACGGCTAAAATTGGAAAAGAAAGATTTTCTTAGTGACTCCAGAAGCATCTCTGCTCGGATTTTACATCAGGCATAGGACAGGGCATCTTTCAGCAAATCTGGCTGGTTCCTGATTGAATTGATGCCTGCGCTTGACTGTAGTTCTTGATTACAGTTTCCAAGTGGTTATAAACTGGTCCTGAGTGTTTCAGGATCACAATTAAATTAGCTGTTCTGCCAGGAATATAATGAGATTTGTTCAGAGATAAATCTGGGCTATGACAAGTACAAGTTTCTCTTTTGTTAAGCAGAAGGAAAGAAAAAGTAGAAATCTATAGTCATGGATATGGGTAAGCCAGATTGATTTATAAATAATTATAAAGACCATGTCTACTAAAAAGGAGTCCTCTCTGCCTGTGAAATATAATGTATTGTTATTGGGGGGGGGGGGCTGTTTTTGGATGTTAAACCAAAGGTAAATCTGTAAAACTGTGCTTTCCACTTTCGGTTTTGAAAAGGATTTTTCTCATTAGTGGCTACTGGTTAAAATAATTTTTCAGAAATTAATTTTCCTGAATTAATCCTGCAAATACAAAGGATGATATTCCATGATTTTAAAAATAATCATAATATTTAAAGACTCCCTGTGCTTGGCTCTCAGTCTCTGGCAGGAGATAGCAGTCTTTCTCTGTGACTCCTATACAAAAAAATAACTCCAGTTATTACTCAGGAGACATATAACGAGGTAGTTACAGCACTTTTTAAAAAAATCTGATATTTTTATCACAATATAACTACTGATTTCTCTTTCTAAAAAAAAAAAAATTGTAAAATAGAATTATTGTGAAATATGTGCATGCTTTGTTCTCTTCCTCCCTGGTTTATCTTTCAGTCTACTTGCAGCTGTTATCTGGAAAAATTAAATATTTAACACATTACTCAATGGCTCAGTAGAAACATTTTTATTTCCTCCATCCATATAGCTTTTCTGAAGTAATATATGTTTATGAAGTTAATATCACATCAGCACCGGGACCATCCAAACCCTACCTAATATGCTTAAAAATGTGCTTCTCACAGAAAACTGAATAGGCAGTATGCCATCCAGAGTTCATCTTGAGACTTCTTACACTCCAAATGTAGATTATGATTCACCAGAAATGTAGTAAATACCTTTCAAATGAAGTCAAAACCACATAGAGATAACATGTGGGAGATACAGATTCTTAGCTGCAGCATGAAAGATCTCAAGTGACTTCTATTTAAATATAGTTATAACCTGTATGATGACCTTACCCAGAGGTCTTCTGTAGAGCTGCTACTGGAGTTGCACCTTCTGTCGTATTCAGGGTGTGATAAAGTGTCTTCCTTGACACTTCTTTAGAAAAAACATGCTTTTATATTAGGGAAAAAAAAAAGTCATCTAGTATATTGAGGCCTAGTCTCAGGACAACAGGGACCAGATCCGTAGTTTAGAACACCAGCAGACTGTGTTAACTGCAGGCACTGATCCGTCCTAGCAGCAGCCACTGAGCACACAGAGAAAGGTATTCCTCCTCAGCAGACTTGCAGCTTATTTTTAGTGGTGGAGAGACAGGCTGATCTGCAACAAGATTTGACACGTCACTTTCCACTCACCTTCTTGCAGAAATGTCATGGGTCTTTTTTGGTGCTTGGGAATTTTTCCAGCTCTCCTCTCATTGATACAAAAGTGGCCCAGGGCCATTCCTGAGCTTTCATTAAATAGCCGGATCCCACCAGTCTATTGGGTGGTTTGGGGCACAAACAGAAGCTCTTAAAATCCTAGCTTTCTACCTGCAAAAAAAGATTGCATGACCTATCTGTAATGGACTTTGAGGTATGCAGTTCTAAGGAAATGCAGAAAAAAATCAGTAAAAAGTTAAATTCCATAAAACTCTTCTGTAAAATCTTTAAAAGCATTGCACGTCCTTGTGGTGCCAGTAATGACAGAGCTGTGCAAAATGTAGCCGTGCAGCGATGAACCTCTGTGGCAGCTGCACCACCAGATTTTTTCTCAAGCACTCTCTCTTCTGCCAGTCTTGTAAGTTTGTAGTTTGAGTCCAGATCAACATTTTGATGTGGTCGAATTCTGGAAATAATTTAACACTTGCCCTTACCTGCTTTAAATTGACATCAGATTGTTTATTGTCAAGAAGCTCTGTGTAACATACGAAGATTTCTAGAGTCCAAAACCTGGGCCTGAACCTAATACCTAACAACTCAGTGGCCAATGACCTGAACTGACCTCTCACTGTCAGTGAGCAAGACCAGCTATTAATTGATAAATAAATTTGGTACAAAGGCTTACAATAAACAGATGGCAGTGGCTCCAAAATCAGGTGCCCCTTTAGGCATGTCCTCCAATTATGGCTTAGACACACACACAGAAGGAGTGCATTAAAAGTAGTTTTCCCTTATAAGGGGAAATTCAGCCTGCTAATTTCCCAGATGTTAAGTCTAATGATACGTCACCATTCAAAAATATGTCGTCTCTATTAGGGCTGCACACTCTTATTTTGGAAGTCTGTATCTATGCAAATAACTAAAGTGATCTAAATAAAGTAAAAACAATCTTTAGCTCTTACGTGTTGGAGATCTTACAGGTTTGTGGTCTTGGACTTCTAGGTTTGTTGCTCCAGCTCCTTCTCATCACATCAGCCCCCAGAGAATGTCCATTCAACATCCCATGATGCAGAGACAGACTCCACAACCTCCTCAGCTTCCACAACTTGCAGGGATGCCTCTGAAGACATACCAACAAGCACAAAGCCCTTCTTTTCAGCCAAATGCCCTTCACATCCAGGGTAAGAAGGAAGAACCTTCGTCGCTGATGTTAGGTATTTGTTGCTATTGCAGATCTTCAAATTAAGTGCTTCAGGGATTGGCGCTGATATTGTTAAGGTACTTTTCCTTGAAAGACCCTAGGAGGTAGCCTTCGGGACCCTGCCTTCAGACTTTCTTAAAATATTTACCTTAGCTAGTTGTTATTCATCCTGGTACGGAGTTACGTGTTTCTCTTCATATTGATTTTCAGTGCTGTTCTTGACACAGAATGGCAAAAAGTCATGGATGGCTTTTAATTTTCTAATGTTATGCTTCTAATCCCTCCTGATTTAGCACATAAGTATTAACTTGCTTTTCAAGAGGTAGGATATTTTTGTCCCTTGCACTTGTGAGGAGATGGAGAACTCTTCCTGTGTAAGCATGGATGACTCTTGCATTTGTGTTCCCACTTGTGCTGTGTAATCAACATCTACAAGACCTCTCTCTCTCTCTTCAATCCTGTATATTTATTCTGTAGCCAAAGAAAAAAAGCATCAGCTCGTGGGTTGTTTTGTTTGTTTGTTTTTCTTAGCTGGTGGACATCGAATGCTAATTACTTTAACATTTCAGGAGCATGTTGACAACAGTATTCTTTTTTCCTCTCAAGTGTTTAAATGTAGGATTTGCCATACTTACAGACACAATTACATAGCAGACTGGAATTTTTAAGGTCTTAGGAGTCTGCTTATTGATCAGGCTTCCTGAGTATTATCATTATAAATATCATAGGAAACATGCTGTGAAGAGCAAGGTGTATTGGTTTTGCACAGTTTGGTTTTTGGTAGCAGAGGGGCCACAAAGGCAGCTCTAGTGAGAAGCTGCCTGAAGCTTCCACCATGTCCAGCAGAGGCAATCTGTGATGGCTCTGAGGCTGGACATGCTGCTAGCCAAAACTGGGCCAATGTGAGAGGTTAGTAGTGCCTCTGTGATGACATATTTGAGAAGAAAATCAGAACAAAGTGGGCACAGTTTTGCTTTTAGTCAAAGAGAAGAGGAGGAGGTGAGAACATGTGAGGGAAGCAGCATCACAGCACCAAGGTCAGTGCAGAAGGAGGGCAGGAAGTGCTCCAGGTGCCAAAGCCAAGATTCCTCTGCAGATGAAGCAGCTGTGCCCCTGCAGCCCATGGGGATCCATGGGAGATCCACCTGCAGCCCGTGGGGGATGTGCTCATTCTGGAGTGGGTGGATGCCTGGAGAAGGCTGTGATCCAGCGGGAGACTTTATGGGAGAGAGAGGGCCCCTGCTTCCAGGGTGGAGCAGCCTGTCCTTGGAGAACCACACCCCATGCAAGAGTGACCACACTGCAGCAGTTTTGGGAGGACTGTGTGCCCGTGGGAGGGGACTCACGTTGCAACAGGTGTGATTTGGCTGCTGCTCATGAGAGCGGACCCACAAAGAGGTGTTCACAGAGAACTATCTCTCATGGGAGGGACCCCATGGCCTCACAGGGGAAGAACTCCTCTCCCTGAGCAGCAGAAGAAAATTTTAGTGATGAACTGACCAAAACCTCCATGCCCTGTCTCCCTGTGCTGTTGGTGGGAAGGAGGACGTTCTGGGCAGGAAAAGATTGTTTCAAGGCCTTATTTTACTTCGCATTATGCTCCTCTGATTCTGTTAGTAATAAATTTCCCTTTGTAACCTTAAGTTGAGCCTGTTTTGCCCTTGAAGTGTTTTTTCTCTCAACCTTTATCTCACTCGTGAACCTTTTGTTAATTTTTTTCCTTTTTTCCCTCTTCTGCCCAGATAGCAGGGAAGGGTCACCGAGTGCCTCTTGTGGGTGCCTGGCATTAGGCCACTGTCAAACCATGACACAAGGCTTCTTCTATTTTCTTCCACGGATGTAAGCAGTCTCTCTCTTGGCAAAGAGAGGAAACATCTTACTGAGTTCACAAATGTGAAGGAGAGAAAAGAAAGTGCCAATCCTGTTACATTCTTCATGTTGCACTGGCCACAGAGAAGCAGGATCTGAGGCTGAGGCAGGTGGTTTTCTCCACGAAGTAGTAATTCTTTACAGCACTGATCAGTACTACAAAAACATGAAATTTACCAATGGATATAAGCAGTTATAGCTGGCTTTCTATATTCTCTGATAGACATTTCACTAATAATGTATAGCCAACAGAGTACAGGGTTAAATTTCTTAGTGTGCAGTTCATTGTCAAATGACATACATGAAGGAACTGGTCCAGTAAATTCCTAGTGCAAGGCTTGAAGGGGTCAGGTTAGCCCTTCTATTTCTACAGTATAAAACATTTTACTTGATTCCCTTTTTTGCTGAACATTTGGCAAGAAATCATCTTGAAAGGCATTGAGACATTTAGGTCTGTCTTTCTGCCTGGCGCAAAAATTGTCTTTCAGTTATACAGATGGCTTTACCACCTTCTTCCTCTCATGGCCATGGGAGTTTTAGGAGTCCTAGAAGTTGGGAGCACAAGCAGTTGCTCCAGAGAAGAAGACTTCCCAAAGAATCCTGCCTCCCAGGGATTCACAAATCACCCTGGATTAATTGCTACTCCACACAGGACTTGCACTGGCTTGTGCAGCAACCTTCATATCTCCTTGAGCATCTTCTCTTCAGGGCAGGCCAAAACAATGCTACTGTGTTCCCATCTCCCTCTCCTACTGTCCAAAGAGTATTTAAAAGGACAAAAGATGTAGGTCATCATTCTTTACAAGAAGAAGGCCCAGTAGAGACCCTCATGTGAGTGAATGTCACATTTGAATTGAAGCCCTGTTACATGTCCAAATTTAAGAGACAGTTTAATACTATCTTCTGAGATCAAACAATTGTTGAATTTCAAGGGCTTGGACCTTAAACCTGTACCATACTTAGTCCCATGTTATCATTACTGTGTCTGCTTCACTCTCCTAGGAAAGCTTATTGAGAAGCTTTCCAAACCCTGTTGAAAACAGATACTGCTGACAGGAATTATTTGCACACAGATAACAGCTCAAAGTTCAAATTCTAAACAATTTTGCACTGAAAACTAGTAAAAAGATAATGTAGACTGAACTCTTAATTATTATTTTTAGTATTGAAAGATACAGTACAGTGCAATTCAATACCCACAATGTGGATATTAAATGTTTTTTCAAAGTTCAAGTAACCTATCATCACTGTACAAGGTATTCAATCCGAATGTACTCACTCCAGCTTAAGCACAGCTGTCTCATCCTATATGCTACACTGAAAGCACTGTCCTGTGTGCCTTAAGGGTTTACCTAAATTCTCTCTCTCAAAAGCAGATGTTTGAAGAGTTTATGTTTTCCCAGTACCAATATAAAGATTGCTGTCTTCCTTGGTCAATTCGTTGCAATGCAGAAAAACACCATGGAGTTATCTCCACACCATACTATTATGTATGCAAGAAGTGGCTGTGAGAAGTTCTGTTAGTTTCTATCTCCTGCAGTTCATAACCTGCCTTTTCAAGATTTAAAGTGCTGTAAATATAGCCACATCAGCTCAATCTGCTAGTAGACAATGGTGACAATCTGCCTCAGTATGTAGTCTTAAACTTGTCAGTTACATGTAAATTTAACTTGTCAGTTACATGTAAATTTATCAAGGAAGAAAGAGTTTCATTGCCCAAAAGCTTTTTGAAGAAAACAAGTTCTAAACAGACACAATTTCTGAAAGCCTGAACATCTTAAAAGATCATGGTGATCTCAGAGTACTATCCTTTAGAGAGAAATATTTATGAGATCCAAGACTGACAGCCTTCTTGTATCTAATAGCTACTTGTATTGTGAAATGTCTTTTCCTTGTAAGAGCATTGTCTACAGTTCAAGCTTCATTATTTGTTCTGAATGATTTTCAACATACACAGTAATGTCAGAGAGGGCTTTCTGTTGCCTCAGTTGATATTACATAATTGACTAAATGTTCCCTTTTCTTGCTTGTGAAATTCCCACTATCCTTTGCTGCATGGAATGTTCCTAATTGATGTTAGATGCCTCGCTGAGCTGTAGAAATGAAGCCCTTCTTTTCCTTTCATTAGATTGTAGTATCTTTTACTGTATTACCATTCCATAAATGTTTAACTATCCTGACTTGAAGACTGGAACTTCCCAACTAGATGCTTTTGTATGCCAGTGCAATATGTGTTTATAGACAGAAGACAGTGCAGGTGCTGGAAATCTGCAACAATTTGTCCAGTACCTGTATTGTACTGGTGATTCTTTTCAACCACGAAAAACTACTCTCAGAAGAGGTGTCTGAAAACACAGGCACCTACAGTCCTCAGGCAGCTGCCAGAATATGGTACTGCTTGCTCTGAAACAATCCAGAAGAGATGTTCTAGGTATGAAAGGAAAGAACAGCAACAGAGGCTCCCTCTTCACAGTAGAGAAAATTTATTGTGCTGTTTAATATAGAGTAAGGTAAAAGTTCTTTAGGCATGGGTAAAGCTAACTTGCTTTTGGATGATACTATAAACATTTTGACACTAAAAATCTGGCTGTTCTTAAAAATTGTGTCTGTAACTCTGTTCACATGTCTTTGTGAGTTAAGCAGACGGCCAGAGCTGTCTGAGTTATGGAAGAAATTTAAAAAATGCAAAGTATTAATTTAAAAAAAAAATAAAAAGTTGTCATTTCTTTAAAAAATTGTTAGCTTCTATGAGTTAGTTATATTAGTACAGACAGGTCTACAAGTAACAGCTATCTTTAAATTAAAAATAATAAGATTTTAATAAACAGAAACATTTCTATTTTTTCACATTTGAAAATCTGTCTGTTAGTACAGTATGTGACTTGAATCTCTCTTGTACTCTTCCTTTTGTTCTTCACAGCCAGATGGTACCACATGATTACATGGTGTTCGTGTAATTTGCCTACTGGACATGCAGAAATAGGTATATTTCTGCAGGAAATACACCTATATTTCCACAAAAAAATGCTATCTTGAAGTGTTTCAGACCAAAGACAGCTGGAACTTTTACATGCCATAGAAGCAAAGACTACTCAAGCATGGCATATATTTCTGAACGGCAACTATAATGATTTTCTTGAGAAAATATTCTCTCTTTCTTGTGACAGGCAGAGAGATGACTGAGGACGAAATAGATGTCCATCAGAAACTTCCTAGCATATGGAAATTATAATTGTGGCAGTCATTCATTACATATCTATAATGAAATCTTTGTCCACAACAGTTCAATAGGATAAGGATGCTATTACAAATGTATGTGGACCACAACTGTACAAGTGAATTTGACCTGAGCTGTCTACCAGGGCTTTTTAGAATGAGCCTTCAGAACAAGGCTCTTTAGGTTATAAAAAAAGAAGAACTTCTTGCTTTCAGAAGCAATTCTTACAGCTTACACGTCTATCATACTCAAAAATATTCACTTTCCTAGGGAAGTTACGCTGTCATGTCATAGCTGTTTGCTCTGTACCTTGACATCATGAATCTTGGCTGTAGTGCACTGATTCCAAGAAACACAGCTGATGTAACCTTGTGCGTGTGTGTGTTTTAAATAGCTTAATAAGAGACAAAATTTTACAATCCAGAGTTGCAGCTGAAATGTTCAGTTGCTGGAAATTTATTAGCCAACCTGTTTGCGTTTTTTTTTTGTTTTTCAAGTGCTGCATGAAACACAGAAAAGTGATGGTACAATTAGGTCCCTAACAGATATCTCAAGTATATATCTGTATATATCAAGTATATATCAGGTCTGCTGCCTGAACTGGATATGGTTTCATGTTATCCTACATTCAGCTGCATTGCAGATTATCTTGGGCATGACACTGTGTGAATAAAGACACCAAGTTAGGAGATTTTGCTGTGTCATGTTGGACTCCAGTTCTTAGACTGGATTGATGCACTACAGATGCTCACAAAGACATTTAGAATAGGACTAAATAACTGAGGGGAAGAGAACCAGATATACTTATTTCTTGCTTAAGACTCTCTGTTTTAAAAGATGGATAATTGACACTGAATTGTGAAAATAACTTGTACCTAAGAAAGTGACACTAGTTTTCTGTGCTCTCTTTCCATGATAAATTTTTTTTTCTCAGAGTCTCTATGCATGACTCTACTATCAGCCAGCTGTCTTGGCATCAGTGATAGATCCTTGGATTTTATTCAGACTTTACTTGCGTAATCTTCTTTCATTTTGAGTTTAGCATTTTCTTGGATTTTCAAACAGATGCACAGTGTGACTCTGGAGAATACCAGTTCAGACACAGGATTGCGCAGTACAGGGAGAAATTCCTGAAAAATTTCAGCTTCTAGCCATTCAGTGCCTCTCACATGTCATGATGGAATCAGGATGTCCGTGTAGTAGCAACCAGAGGAAGTTTTAGGGAGCATAATATCAATACTGCTTTATTTGTTTAAAATTATTGAAGACCTGGTGATAGGGCAATTGAGGTTTTTTATCATTCTCATAGCCATGGTTCCACAAACTCTCCTTTTTATCTCTGTCCAGGTCTTTTACTGATGGCCTTCTTCTCATTCTAGGCTTTTATGGGCAGCTTCAGACTTTCTGCCCTCCACATTATGCTGACACTCAGAAGAACATACAAGACAGTGTTTCTTGCAATATGGTTCCTCCTGTTGACTGCTCAGCTCTCCCATCAACAGGCCAGGGAGGGCTTGGCATTTTCCATGGAAGTTTTTCAGATCATTCTGGTATCAAAGGTAAATAACTGCTGGTCACTCCATGTATGATTGTGTAGAGTTTGTGAACTTCAGCAGATATGCATGAGCTGTGTATTTGGGTGGGACATGTCCTGACAGATTTGACTTTTTAGAAAGAGGGGAGAGTTTTCAGACCTTCATGGAGCGGTTGGTGTTGGGAGGCCGGAACTCGCCATAGGTGACAGTAACAACCAGCCTGTGTGCAGTCTGAGCACTGTTGAAGGCTTCTCAAGATTTTAGCCTGTGGGACTTACACAGCCTCTGGTTTGTGTTTTTCAGCTGAAATAAGGTCCATTGAGCCCTCTGTGATATTTGTGCATTCACTTCTTTCCACTGCACATGTTGTGGCAGAGACCCGAGATGATTCAAACTACTGATTTTGCTTGGTGCATGTTTGGTTTTATCAGTCTTGAATTTCATTTATTCATGTTTCAATGACAAAAACTGCCTGGATGAACACTCATCTGTGTGCATATAACTTAGTCTGTGCCTAGATGAAACGTACTTAAGGGGCTTGCATGCTGCTCTGGAAGGCTGAAAGATCTCTGTGCAAAGGATCAGTTCAAGACAGTGAGCCTACCATTAGCGCTCAACTAATGCCCAGGTCTTTTACCGTCCTTCCACACAGCATGAATCCACTTAACATTTATTATGCTTTGAAGTCCCTCTTATGTCTTGGTCCTTCAGAAGTGTATTGCAAAGCCAGTGCACCTGTAATTACAAAGAGGAATCTTACAGTATGTAAACATGTTATCCAAAAGATGGGAGTGTGTGTGCAAACAGTTATTCTTGGGCTTACTATTGCCACTTGTAAAAGGCAGTAATTTCTGTGCCAGAATCTACTTTATGGCAATGTTCTACAATATTTTGTTGCCTTTTATCCTGTGTTCAATATGATGAAATGTGTTAAACACACATGAAGTTTATTTTAAAAATGATCACAATTTTAACACCCATTAAATGGGGAGGTTAGTTGCAATGAAATCCGCTCTACTTCAGACTTGATTATGAGAGAACTGAAAATTCCTCCCTTGGTAAGCAATAAGTTGTGTAATTAATGTAATACATAATTTGATTTGTTTATTTTATTTGTGTATTTGATTTTAAAAAATTTCAGTTCTATGCATAAGTATTAGGACATCATTATATAGTTATCCTGCTTATTAACTGGGGCTTTTTTGTTTTGTTTCTTCTTCCAGTGTACGACTTTCCAGCAGGGTCTGTAGATATCTTTGATGATTCAGCTTGCAGCATGCCAGAGGACAGCAGTTTCCTACAAGTAAATGCAGTGGATCATTGTTCCAGCCAGCTTTCTTCTGTATACACTGAAGGCTAAGTAATGTGTATCTATTTACAAGAACTTGATTCTGTTTCATCTTGCCTTCCGGTATTTCCCTACAAAGTTTTTCTCTCCATGAAACTGCCATGTATGTATGGGGATATGACTAGATATACATACATAATGGAGAGGAAAAAAACAATTACCAAGCATTTAATCAAGCAGCCAGCTGAGAAGGAGAATGTTTGGAGAAAGCAAGCTTTGCCAAAATCTTAGCAATTGTTTATTTTCTTCTCATCTGTGGTACAGCAACTATACTTTTAAAATTATTTCTTCTTTTATTTTCTCAAAGGGAATTCAGAGACCAAATAAGAAAACTGGTTGTTGGCTGTAATCCTTTCAAGCTGAATGGGTGCACTTGCAGAAAAACACAGCTTTAGAAAATTCCTTTTTCAAACAAGGAAAATAAACAAAACCAGAGCATACTACAAACATTTCAAAGGCATAAAGTTTTGCACAACCTGTCTGCATGTGATAGTTCCAAAGTTTAACACACACCAGGATCCAAAAGGGAGACAAGAAGACATACATATGGCACTACCTATTGGAGGCATTGGTGTGGCTTCTTTTTGGATCAAAGGTTGTTGGTAGAGAATTTCTTACAGGCCTCATAGTAGGTGTCCTTTCTTTCTCTCTTTATTTTAAGCCACACTATACAGCTATTCTTGTTTTCCCGATATTCATTCTGACCCTTTAAACATGAATAAGATAATTTAAATATACAAGAACTTACGTGGGCTTTGTGGCTATTTAGCAGATCTGCCAGATAAGCATAAATGAATGGTAACTTTCAGTTGCTTTTTAATTAGATTGTACAGCATTGTTGCTGTCTGTGCTATAGTCTTCGCCAGGAAGGCTTAAAATCTTTTGTAGGAAAGAGTCTTCCTTAAATTCCACATTTTTTAAAAAAGCTATCTGTACTGATTCACCTAAATTTTAGTTGTCCTAATCTTTTTCCATAACACATTTTCAGAAAGAAGAACTACTCTTAAGTGTACTGCAATTCCTCTGGTTACTTAGAAAGATAAAACTGTACTGATGTGGTGGTTTTGATTTTTCTGATCAATGTCAGGCTCAAGGTCCTCAAATTTAGTCCAGGATGCAAGCAAATTGAGTTGTAAAACATACAAGGTTATGAGTTAAAACCAGTATTTTGCACTGGAGATGCCATCACTGTGATCCTGCATGCCTTGAGAACAGCTCTTAAATTAGACTGAATTTTTAGGTTTTAATTCCTGTTCATACATTTTGTGGGCTTCTTAATGTGTAGTGTACATCATAATATTCTCATGACCTGATAGAGTAAGGACAGAAAAGTTCATCCTTGCAGGCTGGACCATAACTATGCTTCAGAAATAACTCTTCCAAAGAGATAAAATAAAAAGGTTTATACAACATTTTTTTTTTCCTGGCAAACTTATGAGTTGTTAAGTCCAATTTGGGTCGAATTCATAATTTAATCTGCAATTATGTGGAACAGATGAATTTATGTCCGGATGTTTGTGAACATTGGCAATCTTTTGAGGTTTGTATTCATGAAGTATATTCTTATGTGCAGTTATATGCTTAAATATTTAATGGAGAGATTTTTATCTGATACATAGAATATATTGATAAACCATTCACATAAATGAAGTACAACAAGAAGTAAAGTGACTAAAATGTAGCCAATCCTGTGTTAAATTCTTCCCCCACATATTCTGCTTCTCACATGACAAGAGAATGTGTTCCTCTGCTCCCGCTTGCACTAAGAGGTCTAGATGTTACCACATGTGATTTGCATTGCATTGAAAGACAGCAGGCATTCTTCACAGCTATACATATGCAACCAAAAAGACAATCCTTTTGCATAATGTGCATTGACTGCAAGTTTTGCTTTTCAATAAAGCTTTACTTTTTTACTACCTTAAAGCCCATTCTGTGGTCACTGCACAAATGTAACTTGGTTCAGTAGGAATAATTAGTCACACTGAACTCTTTAATTTCAAATGTGTGGAATTGTGTTTTGTTCCACCAAAGTCAACAAGGGCAGGATCAGACTATGTGTGGACATTTACATGTACATATATACTTCCATATATATAAATCCCTCAAAATTCTTTTAAGCACATGATTGTCCAGAGTTTGTCCATTGCTGTTTACAAAACTGAAATATTGTTGCTGTCTTCAGATCTGTACCGCCTTGACTTTTAAACTTTTGGAAATACTTTTTTCTAGTATCTGAATGTACAAGTTGCTCTGTAGAGTTGAGAATTATACTTTTTGAAACATACTGACCAAAGGGAAAGTGGGAGTACACGATTCAAAAAGGGCATTTTCAGCTTGGGGGTTCATCATTTACATTTAAAAAAAGAAACTTTTGCAAGTTATTAATTCATTCTTTCATATATATATATATGTATTTACACCTTTCCATGAGCCCTAATCCTAAAAAGAAGGCCCTAGAGAAGAGTCAAATCAAGCACATGATGGGCTACCAGTCTGTAAAAAGGTAGGCCCATGTTTACTTCTCATTCAGAGACAAAGAGGATTCTTCACTATTATTTCATTATTCTCTTTGGAGTTGGACTGGCTTTGAGGCATCAATTTAATCACTGAGGGCAATTGCATAAAAAACCCCATTGTAGCTCATGTATATTGGATATTTAAATAGGGAATCTTGTTTGTCACAATCAAAAATGGTTCTTGAGAAAATACAATTTTGTGGATTACCTGCATAACTGAGTTATTTGCAAATTGTGCCTCCATGAGATTTGTGTTGTTATTCTACTTGCTGTATTGTTAAGTTTCTAAAGGGATTCATATCTAAGAGATGAAATTATTTTAGACTACAGACATTAAACAATATTGAAAATAAATTATTTACAATTATTCTTTTATACATTCTAACTCTTTGCCAGGTCAGTGGTCTATTTATATCTGCGTTATAAATGGTTCTACACTGGAGTTTAAAATACAGTTTCAAAGTGCATCTGTACAAGTGGGAGTGTATGAGAGTGCATTTAAGGCTCCTTTCCTACATGTGTGGACACACAAACATGTAGGCATTGTGGTTTACTACTACCAGATGTTGAAGAATGGCAGTGCTAAGGCCATCTGTCACACTGTATATTGTTTTCAGCTTTTCTTGAAAAGGTGTGAATAAGTATAAAAAATGCATTTTGACTGTTTATTCCCTGTTTTCCCTGTGTAATTTTGTTCTTGGTTTGGGGCTTTTTGTTTATATATATATATGTGTATATATATATGTGTATATATATATATATATATATATATATATATATATATATATATGTATTTCCTTGAAGCAGTTAAAGCAAAAGACCACAAATGAAAATTAGCTGAGTTTTTATTTAAGAAAAATAAATCCTTTGTTCTGTACAGAAAGCAGCATCTTGTGTAATATTTTTTACACAAAGCACTTTGGTGAGGAGAGAAAGTGGGATTATGTTTTTCCTAAAGGTTACAGAGTAATCTACATATTTATACATGCTTACATATATACATATTATCATAATTTGCCATACTGTATATCTGGCTGATATATCTTGCTCTAAAGAAATATGTGTTTTATGTCATGAAAAAAAAGAAAAATTCAAAAGAGTTACACTTTTTGCTCTACCAGTATGTGTAGTTTTGTGATTTTTTTTACAGTTATTTTTCATACAATCATAAGTTATTTTTGTCCTGTTTCATAACATTCTGTTTTATGTAAAAGTGAAAGGTGTATGTGCATGGTACAAAATAAAACTGGAAAATTGTAACTCCATTACATTACCTGTAGAACATGTTATTGTGAGATGCCTTTAAAGAGAACTGCTCCAGGCACTGTCCTTCACCATAAAAGTACTAATATTTGTATGGATTCATAGAATTAGAAACAGAAATTGGAAACAAACTCTTGGAGATTTCTCAAAAAAATCCACTCAGAGTTTTAAGTCTGGATTTAATTATTGTTTTTGTGAGGCTAAAGATTTCTGTAGAATATGAGAATTCTCATTGAATTCTCATATTCTAGAGAAATATATCTATAATATAGATAGAGATATCTCATTGTAAAGATAAATGAATGCCTGAGTGTGTGTTTACACCCTGGGTGGAGACGCAAATAAAAGAAGAAAATGTAGTTACATTTTTGTGCTGTGATAATTTTTAATTTTTATGAGTTTCTTTGATCATGTTGTTTGACAGTACAACATATCAAGGTATTTTGCTTTTTTTGGTTATTGTTTGTAACATACTCAAGGAATTAAACTATGTCAGAGCACTCGGTATAAGGAAAAGAGCATTTTTAAACTACTTTGGACAAAATGAAAACAAAAGGCAGAGACAGAAGTTGATGCAAGCTTGTGTCCAAAATACATCCTGAAAACCCAACATGCTTAGGAGATAAGAAATTACCTCATGCCACACCCACATATTGGACTAGAAATCAAAGGACAAAATACAAAATAAAATAATTGAGTGGAGAAAAATCCTGTTACAGAACTGTAAAGAAACCTTTGAAAATAATGGTCCTAGTTGATCTTACTATGAAATTATTGACATGGTTGGCTCTGTGTCAGCCATGAGCAGATAAAAAACTACCAAGCCCACAGCTGCTGACACTTACATATGATCCCATAGAGTTTTGCTAAAAATAAGCTTTGCCCAGTGCAATCTTATTTACCCTGCATCTTAATTTAATGTAGGAAGTATGATCCATGGTTTAGCACATGTTGTTAGTGAATTCTATAAGCTACCATGAAGAATTGAGAGTTGCTGATTTCAAGTGTTACAAAGTTCTTTTTTTTTTTTTTTTTAATGGAGAGCTCTTAAAATGAGAACTACACAAGTATACAAGTTCCATATGCAGTGGAAAGTAACATGGCTCAATATACCTCAAAGCCATGTGCTTTTTCCTGTGAGCTTGAGCTGGACCAGTGCTTCATGATGTCCTGAAAACTATCCTATAGAAAAATAATCATTATTATGTCATTATGTGACAGGTATATTCCTCCAAAGAACAATAATTTCTGAATGAAAGTGAATGAACGTCTATGCTTTTTATTTTATAAAGTGTTGGTGTTTGGGATTTTCCTATTTCAGAACAGAATCATTTTTGAAACATCAGAAATTCTTACAAGATAAAAATTTGGGGGGTGGGAGAGATTATGTCAGTTCATTGTGTTTTTAATTACAGCTGTGAGTTCTCCCATGCAACTGTGCCAAAGCCCACTGTATTTGTGAATTCATATCATCTCTGCCCTAATGGAAAATACTTCAATAAAGCTTCATGTACAGCAATCTCCTTCAATAAGACGGGGAAAAAATAAACATAATTCTTCCATTCTGAATATGTATCTACTTGTATTTACTGCACCTAATAACACTATACCTTATATTTGCAGATAAGAGTGAGGATGTCTATATGAAAACAAAACTGACCATTTTCCTAGACCATGTTCCTCAGGAAAATTCTTCCTATGATCCTCAAGAAAATACTTGTCTTTCAAACTTGCTGTTTCCTACCTTGGATCCCTTTGTAACTCCAAGTATCATATATGTTTTGAATTCCCTGATTTTTAGACTGTGTCTATTACTCACTGTAAATGTGACTTCTTGAAAAGCAGTTTTCAAATTTTACTCCCATAAGGGATAGTCTTAAAGTGGACAATTTGTGCGTGACTGTGTATACTCACTTACTGCAACAAGAATCAGAATGGTAAAATTAATCTTACAGAATGAAAAATGTTAGCTCTTTTAAGGTTCCTGTCTTCTTCCAAGATGTTAATTTATATTTTTCCTTCATCTTCCTTTAAACTATAATGTTCTCATTTAAAAGCTAAGTATGAAAAATCATTCTACCACATCTTCCCATGCCATTTATAGATTTACAACCAAAGTAAATTTACACAGCAGTCAGTATCATTAATGATTCACAAACGAGATGGGTTAGTTCAGTGAACTGTAACAAAGAACACCTTTCTATGTGTCTAGTTAAACACTCCAACATTCCTTTGTTACAACTAAAAAATGCAAACCTTATGCATGGTTGCAGCTAGGTACACAGGATAAAGCATTACAAATACATCTAGGCAGACAGAACAAAATATAACCATTTCCTCAATATTATACTTTTTTCCCTTTTGATCAAAAATGATCAAACATCAAACGTCAACAAGTGGGCAAACTTCAGGTTTGGCTGCATGTAGATCATCTAGCTTCAGCTGTTCCAGGAATAGACATAGTGAAATTGATTAAGCTCATGGAAGGGTGAGCTGGCCTTCTTTGTTCCTGAAAACTATGGCTAAAATCTGTTGGAAAAATAAAAGCCAAAGTGGCTTCTGCAACTGTGATTGCCATATTAGACTGGCAGCATTGTGATTTCACTTGTTAAGCCACCACTTTGCATAGCAGACAGCTGAAATTAAGCTGTAGTTTTCTTTGACTGGAAGAAGAGGAAGGATACTTTAATGGAAGTTATATTAGTAGTATATGAGGGAAGTTCCTAGAGAAAAAGTTAAAACACTAATACTGAGCCAGCTTATCCATAGAAGAAGTTGGAATAGTGTTACATGGCTCCATTATTGCACAAAACCTTTATGCAATGAGGAGATGAAACAGTTCTTAAAAGAAATTGGAAGTTTTTATCCTGGAAGTTTAAAATCGGTGAAGGCTGCATTCCTATCATTCACATTTTTTTCCAACCCTTCTGTAGAAGCCTAAAAATGCTTGTTAAATTTTTCTAGTTCTGATGTCAATTTTCTCTTTTCTGACTTTCTTAAGACAGCCCACAAAGGCATTGAATACAGTAGCAATTTTTTTACCTAGGTATGCGTAGAAGAGAAACTGTATTAAAATTATTAAACTGATTTTAGGAAACTTTTTAAAATATAACCTGCACAAATCAGAAGTGTGCAGATTTACTCAATATCAGAATTACTCAAACCAAAGCTGAACCAACATTTATAAAAAGGTGATTTTACTCAACTGATGGAAATGCTGCCTAAAGGTTGACCAGAAAGAATGGCACTCATATCCACTGTGGTACTCTTGTTGCTACACTTTTTTCCCTACTTGCAGCTATGTGTCTCAGATATTCAAAAGCCCATTCAATTGTTAGGTGCAGAGTTTGTGCTGGCAGCTGGGCTTTTTATTTTGGTGGGCCTTTTTCACAGAAATCACATGCTATAAACACTGCTGAACAAATACGGTTTGAGTAAAGGAGGAGGAAGTCTGCATCTAGCTAAAAGGGACTTATATAATAGTAGCTTCATTGCGTTTACTTTAAACTTTCTTCTTTGATGCTTATCCCTAAAATGACAGTCAAGGAGGCTACACTTAATGGCTCAAAGGACTAAAAGAATTGATCATGCCAATTCTATTGTCCTTCATTTTACTTTCACATCACTATGTGACCTCTAACAGGACATTTACCATACAGGAACAAGCAGTAGCCAGAATTCTTGTCTGATCAGTTTTTCATGCCTTACTGATGAAGTTGTTACTTTCACTGCATGAATTATGGCCTTACACAAGTCATCACACACAATGAAGGCTGTTAGCAGATAACCAAGGACCTTAAAGGAAATGATAGCTAAAAGGAACTTGATGCTCATTTAGACCAAGGGACCACAAGTGCTGCCTGGTGATGCAAACTGGAGGACTCTGATGGCAAAAGTTCACTGAAGCAACTGGAGACCAATGTTGCCCACAAGTGACCACAGCCTGCACCTCTACCAAATACACTTTCTGCAAAGGTCAGTGGTTTTGGTGACTCTCGCTGCTTGAGAATCCCACCACAGGAAGGATTCTCACAAAGCCGGCCAGCTGCATTTTTCACTGGACTTGGAAGGATTATGGTTATTGGGCAGCACCAAAGGCACTGGATGTCATTCTGGCTGCCTGTCCTAGAGAAAAACTGGAGCAGAAATCTAGTATAGGATGGTTTCCCAATTAATGCAACATATAGCATCAAATTAATCCCCATTAATACTGTTCTGTTATTACTGCTGTATCTTTTTGTTTAGTGGGTTTAGCACACTTTTTAAAGGCTAAAATCAGTACTAAGAAAGGAGAGGGGAAAAGTCTTTTTTCTGTTGTTCTCTCTTCTATACTTTTCTCTTTTGTGTTCAGAAAGTCTTCCTGAAAAAGCACACTAAACACCTAAGTCATTTTGGGGCTGCATAAATGTGAATGAGGGC